CATTATTCATGCGAATACAAAGAAAGGAGTGCTTGCATGAGATAATTACCGTTAGGATAAGATAAACAATGCATTTCTAGATTAGTTTTTGTTTTGATCAGAGATTTTTGGAATATGGTTTTTAAATTTTAGCTTAGCAAAGCACAAAACGAGTTTCGCGTCGGATTTTGATGAAAATTATACAGAATTTGGTCTAACAATGCAAACATCAACTACGAGTTCGGGATTTACACTGAAATTCAGGAACTGCTTCCTGAAAAATTAATTGATTGCCTATGAAAGAAACAATATCAAAAGCAAAGAAATAGCTTGATTTTAATGAAAAAACATTTTATGTTTGAACCTTGCCCTTTTGTCTGCATATTCCGGGCATTCAAAGTCGGATGTCAAAATTTTTCCGTATCCGACCTCTGTGAGAGACGGAAAAATTCGGAAGTATCCTAAGTGGTAGCAAAGGCTAAGAGCAATCACCCACTGGTAAGGCTGTCGATAGCTCCCTCTTTTGAAGGTAGCTTCGAAGTAAACTTTCTTAGAATATAAGCTGTAATCTAAGCATCTCGATTGCGGCTTCCTTCAGAAAGTCTAACAAGGCTTCAGCTCAATATCAGCAAAACCCGCAAGTCTTCTTGCACAGCTGCTGCATCGACGGCCTTGTGTCCACACAAATTGTCGGATTCTGCTGCTTCCAAATTGCACAGAATCGAGCGCGGTCTTCGCAGTTCGCTATGCCTGAAGCAGTTAATATACAAAATGCGGGAAATTTCAGGCTTACTTTCGCTGGCCATCACACTGTCAATCGTATTTTATTAGAAAATTATGTTATTGGAATATCGGTATCGGTACCCCCTGCTGATGATCTGTTACTGGGATGAAAGCATCCGGGATGCTTTTCGGTGCAGCTGTACCGACTCTTCGATCCCGAGATGCATATCTTCAATTAACATCCCCATTAAAAAATACTTTTTCTCAAATGTTACCTTAAGTAACAAATATAATTCATAATTTTTGGCAAATTTTCTACTTTCATATGTATGCCCCAGGAAATGAGCTGTCTGCTTACTTATTAACTACTAAAGCTCCTCTTAACAGCTTTTACGCATTTTTGCATATTATACAAACGTTGGGTTCAAATTAGAAATATAAACGCAAATTTACATATTTATTGGAAAGCCCTTAGAACTGGCATACCTCGCCTTTGATTATCCTCTGCGATAACTTTGTCGATGACCACTTTTACACCCGCGTAGGTTTCTCGACCGGTGGGGACGAGTTGTCGACGATCCAGAATAAAGCCATTCCAAGCTGCAGGATCACAACAGTCTTTGAATTTGCTTGTTTTGAAACACCAAGAATACCAACGACCCAAACAAACGGTCTGGGATTCCAAAGTAGCATTGTGGGGCGAAGTGCACAGCTATGTCGGGTCCTTCGATCCTAGGCTGAATACTTCCAGGGTTTAATCATGGCCTGTATGTGCTCCACCACTGCCGGGTCAGCCCGAATAGCCGTTTACTTTCTCACGAGTACTACTTGTTAACGTATGTGCCCAGCGGATATCTGCTGATTGAAAAGTGCAAGCGTTGTAATCCGTGGGATTTCTTTTTTTTTTGAATGCGTCCTCTCCCTTACTGACACATGGTTCTTCCAAAACTTACAACTTATTCTATCGCGCCCTTCAACACTTAAGCTTCTGAGGTCAACCTGGTTGCTACAATCGGCTTACAAGGAATGAGTTACAGTAAAAAGATTTCAGAAATTTCTGAGACTAACAAAAATAGGATGGTCGGAGTTCAATTGTGTATGAATATTTCACATGAGCCGTTTCTTTGACCCAATCAGCTGATCCTCCTGCATATGCGTCTGCAATTTATGAATTAGCGTAAAAAAAATTTTCAAATTTTTATCAAATTCGTCGTGCATTGCAAAAACTTGAACCCTTTGATCAGGAAACCAGAACAATTGAAAGTTAGCAGTTACGATTTAAAGGTCAGATAACTAGAAGTGGTGCATTCTAAAATTCCGCTTTATTAATTTTGCGCATATTTATGCATTTTCCTCATCTATATTTATATTACTATTTCCGTGTACATATTTCTTTGGATTACTTTCATTCACTTATATCTATTTATTTTCATTGTGGCACATGACAAAAGATTGCCTTAGTGCAATAATTTAGCCAAAAATATGTGCATAAAAACTTACATATGGTCTCCGGTCCAGTACCATATCTATACTGCGTACCATATAATTTTCCCAGTGATTCAACAGCTTTCTTTGCCACTTCTTTCTATAAAAAGATTGTTTTCAAGCTTATATCAAATTTTTTTTTAATAAGTTAGTGTAAATCAGTAAAATTTTCGAAAATATTTCGTGGACAGTGAGTTTTGATAAAACAAGTTGGCCGCCAAAAACGCCAAGTTTAAACT